ATGTGATGCTTTCGTTTCCCTAAACAAAACAAACGGTTAAATAAACAAAAACTTTTTGCCGAATAATAATAAGTTATTCTTTAGATTCATATGAAAAGAATGAAAAGCAAACAGAATATTCTTCAATGCCTTTTCCATTGGATACATACCAACGCTCACTAATGTTATACTATTCGCCAGAATATCGGTTTGTGTTAATATTTGTTGCGGAGACAAGACTTTTGAATAATTTATATAAAATCCGCCGCCTTTTATGACTCGAAGCGCTTCGACTGTTGTGTTCGCACAAACATTGTAGCAAAAAAACGAGTGCAACAATGCATTAAGTATTGAAATCATATTAATATTTGTATTAAGACATTGCAAAGCGAGACAATCATCACATGAATGCAGAAATAAATACAGTATAAACTTTTCTCTGCACACAAAAGTGGGTATAGAAACAAGTCTTACATTCATTAGTAAAGCAATGAGCTTTGATGGCCAACTCAATAGCGGTCATCTCATCGGGATTGAAAATCAATGTAGACATCGGCGCGCCTTCAAACACATCATTAATTTCGGATTCGTTGAGTCGGGCCAACACTTCCACATCTCTCTTAAATAAGGCATCAGTTGTTCGCTTGGCTGATGAGAGACCGGCCTCTGTTGGACAGAAGTTGCATAATCTTAGTTCAAATCACTGCTAATATTCATATTATATAGCATTTTAAGCGTCAGATATTGTATCAAATAAGTGATACCTCCGTGAACTAAAAGTGTCATCTCTTCGGCCACAATCTCCTGTAAATACCACGGCTTTTGAGTTCGCAATGATTTCTGGTATATCTGTTCAATCTCTGCGTCCGAACGAAACGAAAACATTTTCAAAAAGTCATAAACTTGTCTGTCTGTCAACTGATGGAAAAACTGGTGGGAAATTAATCATACACTTAATACACACAAAATAAGTGCCAAATAAAACAGAAATAATTACTTGATAGAAACCAAACGGAGAAATTTTATCATCGTTTAAATAAATAGCTTTCTCTTCACTTTTGCCAAATTTCTTCCCGTTTTCATCGGTCAATATTGGCATAAAAAGACCAAACGTTTGCTTATCAGTCAAACGCCTGATCAGGTCGTGACCATTATGTATATTCACGGTCTGATCTATTCCTCCGATCTGTTTGAATGGCAATCAATTTGATTTCAATTAATATTCATTGCAATTAAGCCATAAATCACCTGAAACTCGGCGCCATATTTTTGATACAAATAAAGCCAATCATAGGATTGAAACATTTGATAAGAAAACTCAGAAAAACAGAGACCCGTTGTGTCCAATCGGTCTCTAATGGTTTTGCCCATCATTGTAGTCACCCGTAAATAGCGGCCAATTTTACTCATGAAATCAATTATATTCTTATCGCTATACCATTCACTGTTGCGGCAAATGCTTTCAAATCATGTGAAACAATTAGTTCAATGTTTAATTACAATCCATAACACAATCATTACATATATTCCTCCAGCGTTTCGTTTCTGCCCTTCGTTTTCCAGAAGTACTTCTTGTGATTTTCAAAAATCCTTTTCACACTCTTTTCAATACTGTTGGCGTATTTGTCCGCCAATTCCTTCTCAATCAGCGGTCTTTCCTCACTCTTACCGCTCGGATCACCGATTCTGGCGGTCGAGTCGCCAATCAATACAATAACCCGATGTCCTAATCGTTGCAATTGTAATAACGATATCAACACTAAAAGGTTCCCGACGTGAAGACTATCGGCGGTGGCGTCAAAACCCGCATAAATGGTTCGCTTCGTTGACAACAATTGGTTTAAGTCTTCTCTGCAATCGCGACCAAACAGAAGAGTTTATGTTTTTTGCCATTCATTCAAACAATTACAACAAATGCAATACTTTTCTGGGAAGTGGTTCTTAAATATGCCTCGACTTTGAAGCCAATCGTATGTATTATTAGTTAAATACCGGATATGACAATAATTTGGACACAAATGTCTGTCTTTGGCCACCAATTGGTTCCGTGTCGGCGATGGCCTCTCGCGAGTCAGTAACGAAAACCATAGTTTGTGTCCACTTTTGAACCTAAAAAAGACAATACAATTACAATACAAGACTTGAGACCAATTAA